GCTGGGTTAAGGGAATTATTTGTGGTTAATGTTAAATTATTATTATTATATAATATATATAATTTATATAATATAAATTATTATTATGTACTTAGCAAGTGTGTCAGATGAATCTCCTTGAAGGAGGATGTCATTAATGTAATATCAGACCTTTGTTCCTGGAGAAAGATAGATGCCATCAGGGTCTTATCTGCAAAGATTGTATGTGATAAAAAAGCTATTGTAGTAGTCCCAGCATTTTGGGAGGCCAAGGTAGGTGGATCACTTAAAGCCAGGAGTTTGAGACCAGCCTGGCCAATATGATGATACCCCGTCTCTACTAAAAATACAAAAATTAGCCAGGCATGGTGGCATGTGCCTGTAATTCCAGCTACTTGGAGGCTGAGGCATGAGAATCACTTGAACCCGGGAAGCGGAAGTTGCCATTGCACTCCAGCCTCAGTGACAGAGCAAGACTCTGTCTCAAAACAAAAAAGCTGTTGTGGTACCCCATCGGTAAACTAGAAAAGATATGTTGTGTCCCTTTCAGAGGTGGAAGCAAACTGCAGCTGAGAAGCTGTTGAGATAGGCATGAAAAAATATATTAGCTAATGTATAAGAACAAAATATTTACTGATTGTTGACAGAATAGAATAAATAATATTAATAATTTCACATATTGGGTAGGGAGCCTTGATGGATGGTACCATGCCATTAAGGTAGTAGTAAGCCATCTTGAGAATCCCTTTTTAAATTTATTTATTTATTTCAGATTTAAGAGCAGTCAAATGTCAAAATGGTCTGCTAAATGGAAAACCATTGAGAGTAATCACTTCTTTATTAATTGGGTTTCATGTAATAAGTTTTAAGCTTTGCAGCCCCTATTTTAGCTTACATTGGGCCATATGAATTCTTTTAACTGAGTGTTGATGGAATCCCATTTCATCAAGCCAATTTTTAACAGCCAAAGATTTACTTTGATTTTATTTATTTCCAATATGATATATGTTACAGCATTGGGTACTATGACTATGAGAAATTTAGGCAAAGCAACAAATTAAGGCATATCCATTTTTTTCTCTATTATATTTAGTTACCATTTTAAGAATATAGGGGCCACAATGTTTAAACTTATTGAAGTGCCCAGGTATAATTTGAGCCCCAGTATTGATTAATCCCATAGATATTTTTTCAATTTTGGTTCATTTTGTCAATTGTTAAAGTTAAGTTATAATCTGTGTTGTGGAGGCACAGAAACCAATCAGCATCATTAAAAAAAATTTTTTTAGGCAGCGTCTCACTCTGTTGCCCAGGCTGGAGTGCAGTGGCATGATACTAGCTCACTGCAGCCTCAGACTCCTGGGCTCAAACGATCCTCCCGTGTCAGCCTCCCAAATAGCTGGGACTACAGGCACAGGCCTCCACTCCCAGCTAATTTTAAAATTTTTTGTAGAGATGGAATGTTGCTTATGTTGCTCAGTCTTGTCTCCAGCTCTTGGCTTCAATCTTCCCACCTCAGCCTCCCAGTGTGCTGGGTTTATAGGTGTAAGCCACCATGCCCTGCCTAAACCTTTTTGTTATATCTAATTGAATCAAAGTGTGGAATTTTGCTTTTAGTTACATATAACATATAGACATATATACAACTTATTATACATTAATATCAAAAAACATATATATAATTTATCATATATCTTTTATTTTATACCCTTTTATTAGGGCTTTATTCATAAATCAATAAGTAATCTAGGGCCAGTATTTTGCTTGCTAGAATTAATGTTCCCTGAATTTTTAAAGTTGAAGTTCCTCTTTGTTTTTTTTCCTTGAACTTGAAGCAAGTGAAAGCAGCAGTATTTTTTCCTTTCTTTGTTTTGTTTTGTTTTAGGTTTTTAGCCTCCTGACACTGTGGTTCATAGTTTTTGTATCTGGTTGATTAGAGAAATACAGGGAGGAGGAAGGGACCTGGTGTCTCTAGGCAGTAACCTTTCCCTGGGACATCCCCCAACAGCTAGATAATGAGTCTCCACCCTTCTTTGCTTTTAAGTAAAATCTTTATAATGGCTTGTATTTCTAGGCAGCTAAAAATATTTTCTTTTTTCTCTTTTTGGATGTTTACCTAACAAGCTCCTGGTGGTTCCAAGTGGCTCTTGTTGTGAGCAATGGCCTCCATTTGTGGTTTTCATTGGTACCGTTGTTGGTAGCTGCCTTGCTCTCCAAGGCATCCCAATCAACATCATCTGGGTTTGGATCAGCCTCCACTAGAGCAACAGTGGCAGGATCACTTGGCAGGGCCCCAGGCCCTATTTCTTTAATAGTTTACTACTCTCTTCGGAGATCATAAGAGAGTTGGGAAAGAAATGTTCTGGCCTTTTAATTTTAATCATTAAGTTCTATGTCATCACACACAATGGGGTTAGATTGTTAGGTTAACACATAGGGTAAGGGGATCAAGAGTGACAGAAGGAAGAAAAGGCACGAACATATGGATTGTAGATCCCAGTGCCACTGCTGCCAGTGAGGTACTGTCACCTCCCTGGTGAAGTAGGCACCCCTCTTGTCATGCTGGAAAGTCTAGCCTCAGATACGGCCTCACCAATTCAGTGGGTAGTCAGAGTACATCTTCCTCTTGCAATCTGGACACACTCAATTTAGGGAGGGGAGTTTTGGTGGTAGTTGATAAAGACAATAAGCAGCAATATGCATCAGCCCAGACACACATCAGCAAGCCATGGAGCCTTCTTAAATGGTTTTAGTCAGGTGAGAGGGCTAGCTAATAAGCCAAAAGCAGTCTAAAGGCATTTTGTTGTGTCCCTCATGGTCACGACCACTCTGCTTGATGCACCAATTGCTATATATACATATATTTTTGAGACGGAGTCTCACTCTGTTGCCCAGGCTGGAGTGCAGTGGTGTGATCTCAGCTCACTGTAACCTCTGCCTCCCCGGGTTCAAGCAATTCTCCTGCCTTAGCCTCCTGAGTAGCTGAGACTATAGGTTCATGCCACTATGCCTGGCTAATTTTATTTTTTTTTTGGTATTTGAGTAGAGACAGGGTTTCACCATGTTGCCCAGGCTGGTCACGAACTCCTGAGCTCAGGCAATCTGCCTGCCTTGGCCTCCCAAAGTGCTGGATTACAGGCATGAGCCACTGCTCCTGGCCCAATTGCTGTATTTTTTAAATAAAAACTGGTCTTGGCATCTCTCTCTGGAGAGTGGTCACAAATTCTAGCCCTGCCCTGACAAGACTCCAGGGGAGGTTGTCCTGGATGCTTATGGTGTACCTTTTATCCTTTATCCTGGAGAACAGCCTAATGCCTAAGTGTCTAACTCACTTGACTGTCATTAGGTGTCCTTCTGATAAGAAACATGTTTATTATACTAGAAGATGCCCTTGTGGCTCTTCTCTGATCTGCATCCAGTTTATTCCTACCAAGATAGCCACTCTCTAGGAAAGCTCTAACCAGGAAAAGAGTTAGATTCAGTTGTGATGGTCAGGTGAGTCACAGAAGAGGCAGCACAAAAAAGAATATATGAAATAACAAGCAGTTTTTATTACTTACAGATCCCTGAGAGGGCAGCATGCCTCACAGGGCCATTGGGAAATGAGTCCATCAAGATAGGTATGTTCAAACAGTGGGTGAGGATCAAGAGAGAGAGAGTGAAGGACCTGAGGGTCAAAGCCTTTATTGAGGTCCAGGATGTTACCCAGGGTTTCCTAAGGGGAGTTCTAAGTGATGGTTTTAAAACAAGTAGGCATGTGTTCCATGAAGGTCTGCATAGTCCATGCAGAGCGTGGAGGTCTGTGGGTGAGTCTAGTAGGTTGTATTGAGCTATTCCAGAGAAAGGTGGTAACCAGGAGGTGGTTGCATAAGGCAGTTATCTGGATCAACCAAATTGAGGAACTAGGAGGATATGGAAAACTGCAAACTGTGTTAAGGGTGGCTAAACCCTGCTTCTGGCATAAGAAAGTCCAATTTATGCTTAAAAAGGATACTGAGGCAACATCAAATTATAAATATTCACTACACTATTTTCCATAGCAGCTGTACCATTCTACATTCCTACCAGTAGTGCACAAGAGTTCTAATTTCTCCACATCCTTGCCAATGCTTGTTATTTTCTGTTCTGTTTTTTGTTTGTTTTGTTTTCAGAGTAGACATCCTAATGGGTGTGAGGTGGCATCTCACTGTGGTTTTGTTTTCCATTTTCCTAGTGATTATTGATGTTGAACATCTTCTCATGTGCTTCTTGGCCATGTATGTATCTTCTTTGGAGAAATATCTTTTCAAATCCATTGCCCATTTTAGTCAGGTTATTTTTTGTTGTTGTTGTTGTTGATTTGCAGAAATCCTTTATATTTTGATATTAGCTGATTATCAGATACGTGATTTTCAAATATTTTCTCCCATTCTGTAGGTTTCCTTTTCAATTTGTTGATTCTGTCATTTGATAACTTTTTAAATTTTGATTCATTCCAATTTATACCTATTTTTGCTTTTGTTGACTGTGGCATGGTATTAATTATATCCAAGAAATCATTGACAAACCCAGTGTCATGAAGCTTTTCTTCAATATCTTCCTCTAAGAGTTTATAGTTTTAGTTTTTATGTTTAGGTCTTTGATCCATTTTGAGTTAATTTTTGTATATGGTATAAGGTAAGGGTCTGACTTCATTCTTCTGTATGTGGTGTTTTCTCAACACCATTTGTTAAAGAGACCATCCCTTCCCCATTAAATAAACTTGGAACTCTTGTCAAATATCATCTGGCCAGTTCCATCCAAGTTGTTGCAAATAGAACAGGGTGACTATAGTCAATAATAACTTAATTGTACATTTTAAAATAACTTAAAGAGTGTAACTGGATTGTTTGTAACTCAAAGGATAAATGCTTGGGGGGATGAATACCCCATTATCTGTGATGTGCTTATTTCACATTGCATGTCTATATCAAAACATCTCATATACCCCATAAATATATACACCTACTATGCACCCACAAAAATTTAAAAAATGAAAAAAGAATCATTTGACCATATGTGCAAGGATTTGTTTCTGGGCTCTCTATTCCATTGGTCTATATTTCTGTCTTTATGCTTAATTAAGTTTTACCTCAGTTGCAGTCTTTGAAAGTCCTGTTTTAACCTATGTAAGGACATATTAACTATTTTAACTGGAGCTTTGTTGGGTCCCATTTTATCAGGTCAATGTAAAAGTGCAAAGACTTAATTTAATTTTAATTTTTAATTCATTTATGCTGTAGAATCTATGCTCAATATTGGATATTTTAGATAAATGAGCTCTATAACCATGGGAAAGGTAGGGAAGTCTACAGTAAAAGTGAAACATATGTGTTTTTCCTCTATTTTATATTTAGTTACTTTTCTAAGATTATAAAGGATACAATGTATATTGTTTCCTCACTGCTGTTGTAATTCATCTTCTGACCCAGCCGGTGTAAGAGATCACAATCTTAGAAACCAGAGGTGTAATGCTTAATGAAAAAGGAAAAGGGGAGAGAGCACTTTATCCCTTCTCTGCTTAAGACCCCTGATGATGTCATGCAATTGATTGAGTATAAAGATCTCCAGGTATAACTACAATCTGAGCCCTAGGAATTGATTAAGCCTGTGAAGCTTTGTTCACTGGCGCATTTTAGCAAATGTTTACTATTTATGTTTACATGATTATTATTATATACAATTTGTTATATAAAATTTTAGTATATAAATTTTGGATTTTTAATTGTGTTACATTCTGGATCTTTGTGTGTGTGTGTGTGTGTGTGTCTGTGTGGGTATATATATCTATATTTTGGAAATCCAACATTTTTAATATATTTTAATATACTTTGCATTTTATATTAATATGTATACACATGCATACATACATTGGTTTACATAGAAAAGAAACCACAGGCCTGTTGTTTACTATTTTTAGGAATTTGACACATTTCTATATTTTGTAGTCACATGAATACAATTATATACATATATACATATTGTTTTATAAAATTGTTTTAAAGTCATTAAAAATATATGCATTTATAATATATATTTATGTAATTATTTTACTTGTACTTTCGTGTTAATTAAAATATATATTAATACAAAATACAAAGTATATTAAAATAAAGTATTTTGTATAGATATATAATTTCTATTACCTTTTATTTTCTCCCTCTGTATTCAGGAGTTTTAGCTTTAGCTTTTTTTTTTTTTCTATTTTTTGTAAGGAGTAGCGTCTAGATGCCTAAAGCCACCATTTTTAGTTTTTGTCTCTGGTTGATAACTGTGTGGTGGTCCTTTTAGGTGGTTATAGAGAGAGAGAGGGAAGGGAACCTGTAGCTTAATTGCAGGCAGCTTTTTTATTTCCAAGCTTTCCAATATACCTTCCAGGGAATGGGACTTGTACCTAGGGAGCTATAACAGTCTCTCCTTGGGACAGCACAGTTATCCTCCTTATCTGAAGTATCAATCCCTTTCATTCATTCTTTTCCTTTCATTCTCTTTCTTTGTCTTTCTTTCTTTTTATTTTATTTATTTATTTTTTTTGAGACAGGGTTTCACCATGTTGGTCAGGCTGCTCTCGAACTCCCAACCTCAGGTGATCCGCCTGCCTCAGCCTCCCAAAGTGCTGGGATTACAGGCGTGAGCCACCGCATCTGGCTTGCTTGCTTTCTCTCTCTTTCCTTCCTTCCTTCCTTCCTTCCTTCCTTCCTTCCTCCCTCCCTCCCTTCCTTCCTTCCTTCCTTCCTTCCTTCCTTCCTTCCTTCCTTCCTTCCTTCCTTTTCTTCCTTCCTTCTTCCTTCCTTCTTCCTTCCTTCCTTCCTTCCTTCCTTCCTTCCTTTCCTTTCTTTTCTTTCTTTCTTTCTTTCCTTTCTTTTCTTCTTTTCTTTCTTCTTTCTTTCTTCTTTCTTTCTCTTTCTTTCTTTCTTTCTTTCTTTCTTTCCTTCCTTCCTTCCTTTCTCTCTCTTTCTTTCTTCTTTCTTTCTCTTTCTTTCTCTCTCTCTCTTTCTTTTTCTTTCTTTCCTCTCTCTTTCTTTCCATCCTTTTTCTCTTTCTTCTTTCTTTTTCTTTCTTTCCATCCTTCTTTTTCTCTTTCTTTCTTCTTTCTTCCTTCCTTCCTTCCTTCCTTCCTCCCTCCCTCCCTCCCTCCCTCCCTCTCGCTCCCTCTCTCTCTTTCCTTCTTTCTTTCTTTCTTTCTTTCTTTCTTTCTTTCTTTCTTTCTTTCTTTCTTTCCTTTCTTTCTTTCTTTCTTTTCTTTCTTTCTTTCTTTCTTCCTCTCTTTCTTCCTTTCTCTCTTCCTCTCTTTCTTCCTTTCTCTCTTTCTCTCTCTCTCTCTTTTTATTTTCTTCTTTCTCTGTCTTTCTTTCATTTTGGTCTCCTCTACTTTATTTTTTGAGTGTCTACCAAATAAAGTCCTAGTGGTCCTGAGCAGGCCTGTCCATAGTGGCAGCCCACCCTCTTTACAGTGTCCAAATTGACTTCTGAGGGATCTGGGTCCATGTCCAGGAGAGTGACACTGGCTTTATCGGTATTTTTGAGGTTCCAGGTTGTGAACATAAGGCTCTTGGCATGCAATAGCACTCAAGAAGGTCCATGCACATTATCCAGGCATTTTATATTCCTCAATCAATTGCATGACCTTGTCAGGGGTCTTAAGGAGAGCAGGGATAAAGTACTCTCTCCTTCTTTCCTTTTTCATTAAGCATTATGTCTCTGGTTTCCAAGGGCGTGATGTCTTGCTCCTCCCTGGGTCAGGAGATGAATTGCAACAGCAGCAAGGCAAGCAACAACACAAGAACACCTTTTGCTGGGTGCCATACCTTGACCCTGAGGTGGAATCCCTCACACTTACTGTTTGTGGTTTGGAACAAATGAGGGTCTCCAAAGAGCACTCTTTCTACTCAATAGGGCAGGCTGAAATGTGTGGGAAAATAGCAGTTGTTTGTTCCACCAATCAGTTCTACACTGTCAATTGATCATCCTCACTCATCAGGCCTGTCCCATGACCATTGGAGGGAAGTCATAGCTTACTCTGTTCACAAGAACCTTTTATATATTTAGCTAGTCAACGTAAAAATAGGTACCCCAGGACCATCTTCTTGGGATCTATGAAAGTAACTCAACTCAGACCAGAACTTGGGGAGAACTCAATTTTCAAGTTCTAAATTTAGGGTTGGAATCCATGGAAACACCCAGCAAATACAACAAATAGCAATTGCAGCCATAGTGCAAGTGTATACCAGAAGGCAATGGTATGTTTCAAGGCTTCTGATGCCATCTGGTGAAACCAATTAGGAAGCCAAAAGAAGTCTAGTGGCATATCATCCCAGTGTGAGGCCAAACCACCCAGCTTGCTACATGAAATGTTTTACAATATAGTTTTATCACTGTGCAGGTATAGTGAGTCCAACTGATCAAAAGAGGATTACCATCGAAAAGATAGTTTGTGATACAGATTCTAAGGAAAAAGGGCATACCACACCATGTGGGGCCATATGAGGAAGCACTGAGGCCAGTCAGGAGGCAGAGATAGAGAGGGGAAACGTGAACAAAAGCCTTTACTGTGGTTTCCCAGGGAAAGAACAGGTGTAGAAGAGTGAGCAGGCTTATGATTGGCTAGTTTTAGCAGGCTCTAGAGCATAAGGGTTGTTTCTCATTTTCTGATACCTGGTCCTGGGTTGACCAGGGTGGATAGATAGTAGCCCAGAGTATAAACGACCAATAAAAGAGATGGTGGAGGGCTATGGGTTCTAGAGTGGTTGGTTTACATAGAAAAAAAAAAACCTCCAACAGGCCTATTGTTTACTATTTTTAGGAATTTGACACATTTCTATATTTTGTAGTCACATGAATACAATTGTATACATATTATTTTATAAAATTGTTTTAAAGTCATCAAAATATATATGTATTTATAATATATATTTGATTATATAATTATTTTACTTGTGCTCTTTTTTTATGTGAATTCAAATTATTTTTGGGTGTCACTTGCTTTCTGCCTAAGGAATTTCTTTAATATTTCTTATAATATGGGTCTAATAGCAATGGATTTTTTTCAGTTTTTGTTTATTCAGAAATGTCATTATTTCAAATTTATCTTGAAAGGTAGTGTTGCTGTATATAACATTCTTGAATCACAGGTATTTTTTTCTTTCACCTCTTTAATATATTATTCCACTGCCTTTTGACCTCCATTTTTTTCTGATAAGAAGTCAGCTATAAATCTCATTGGTGTTTCTTTATTTGTGATGCCTTGTTTTGTCCTTATTGCTTTCAAGATGTTCTCTTTGTTTTTGTCTTCCAGCACTTCTACTCTGATGTGTATGGGTGTGGATCTCTGTGTTTATATTACTTGCATTTCGTTGATCCTATTAGATGTATGTAGATGAACGTTTTCATCAAATTTGGGAGAATTTAAGCCATTATTTAAATTAAATAGTTTTTATGCTCATTTTCTTCTCTCTTTCTGATAGTTCCATTATGTATATGTTAGTGCACTTAATGGTGCCCCATCTTTGAGTTTATTTTAATTTTTATTTGTTTTTCACTCTGCTCTGCATATTGTGTAATCTCTATTAATCTATTTCCAAGTTCACTGATTCTTTCTTCTGACAAATTAAATCTACTCTTGAGTTGGTCTTGTAAATTTTTCATTTCTGTTGTTACACTTTTAAATTTCCAAATTTTCATTTGGTTCTTTTTTATAATTTATTTCTTTTCATTGATATTCTTTAGTTTCTGAGATATTGTCATCATATCTTCCTTCACTTCTTTAAGCATGGTTTTCTTTAGTTTCTTGAACATATTTAAAAGGGCTATATTGAAGTCTTTGTTAAGTCTAGCATTTATGATCTCTCACAGGAAATTTTTGTTGACTCCCCTTTTTCCTGTGCATAAGTCTTTCCTGTTTATTTGTATGCCTCATAAATTTCTGTAAAAATTTGTGACTTTCATCCTACTACTCCTACAATTTCCCTTTTCAAGAATGTTCTTTATGTATAATCATATACTGTGTAGCTTTTAAAATCAAACTTCTTGCATTTAACCAACTGCATGTGAGTTTCATCCACATCACTGAATTGGCAGCTTGTTCAAATACAGCATTTTTTTTTTAACAATCCATCATTTTAAGGACCATATGTTTTTGTTTCTATTTGCAAATACCTAAGAGTAGAATTGCTATAGCATATAGTGAATTTATAGTTAGTTTGATAAGGAACTAAAAAACTATTTTCCAAAGTACTATACCATTTTGAATTCCCACCAACAAGGTATGAGAGTTCCATTTGCTCTGTATCTTCAATCAGCACTTAGTTTTGTCAATTTTATTTTTCAAAATTTTGCAATTAGGCAGATCTCTTACTATGGATTTAACTGGCATTTTCCTAATTAGTAGTACTGTTGGTAATGTTTGTCTGCTGTGTTTATTTGTCATGTATATCTCTTCTTTAATCTTTTGCCCATTTTAATTTTGTTTAGAATTACTGAGCTGTGGAAGTTCTTTTTTTTTTTTTCCCATTTATTTATTTTATTGCATTTTAGGTTTTGGGGTACATGTGAAGAACATGCAAAATTGTTGCATAGGAACACACATGGCAGTGTGATTTGCTGCCTTCCTCCCCATCACCTACATCTGGCATTTCTCCCCTTGCTATCTCTCCCCAGCTTCCCACCCCCCACCCTCCCTCCCCTATTTCCCCCCAACTGACCCCAGTGTGTAGTGCTCCCCTCCCTGTGTCCATGTGTTCTCATTGTTCAACACCCGCCTATGAGTGAGAACATGCGGTGTTTGATCTTCTGCTCTTCTGTCAGTTTACTGAGAATGATGGTTTCCAGGTCCATCCATGTCCCTACAAAGGACCCAAACTCATCGTTTCTGATGGCTGCATAATATTCCATGGTGTATATGTGCCACATTTTCCCTATCCAGTCTATCGTCGATGGGCATTTGGGTTGGTTCCAGGTCTTTGCTATTGTAAACAGTGCTGCAATGAACATTCGTGTGCACGTGTCCTTATAGTAGAACGATTTGTAATCCTTTGGATATATACCCAGTAATGGGATTGCTGGGTCAAATGGAATTTCTATTTCTATGTCCTTGAGGAATCGCCACACTGTCTTCCACAATGGTTGAACTAATTTACACTCCCACCAACAGTGTAAAAGTGTTCCTATTTCTCCACATCCTCTCCAGCATCTGTTGTCTCCAGATTTTTTAATGATCGCCATTCTAACTGGCGTGAGATGGTATCTCAATGTAGTTTTGATTTGCATTTCTCTGATGACCAGTGATGATGAGCATTTTTTCATATGTTTGTTGGCCTCACGTATGTCTTCTTTTGGAAAGTGTCTGTTCATATCCTTTGCCCACTTTTGAATGGGCTTGTTAGTTTTTTTCTTGTAAATCTGTTTTAGTTCTTTGTAAATTTTGGATATCAGCCCTTTGTCAGATGGGTAAACTGCAAAAATGTTTTCCCAATCTGTTGGTTGCCGATTCACTCTAATAATTGTTTCTTTTGCTGTGCAGAAGCTGTGGAGTTTGATTAGGTCCCATTTGTCTATTCTGGCTTTTGTTGTCAATGCTTTTGGTGTTTTGGTCATGAAGTCCTTGCCTACACCTATGTCCTGAATGGTTTTGCTTAGATTTTCTTCTAGGGTTTTTATGGTGTTAGGTCTTATGTTTAAGTCTTTAATCCATCTGGAGTTAATTTTAGTGTAAGGTGTCAGGAAGGGGTCCAGTTTCTGCTTTCTGCACATGGCTAGCCAGCTTTCCCAACAACATTTATTGAACAGGGAATCCTTTCCCCATTGCTTGTTTTTGACTGGTTTGTCAAAGATCAGATGGTTGTAGATATGTTGTGTTGCCTCCGAGACCTCTGTTCTGTTCCATTGGTCTATATCTCTGTTTTGGTACCAGTGCCATGCTGTTTTGATTACTGTAGCTTTGTAGTATAGTTTGAAGTCTGGTAGTGTGATGCCCCCTGCTTTGTTCTTTTTGCTTAGAATTGACTTGGCTATGCAGGCTCTCTTTTGGTTCCATATGAAGTTTAAGGTGGTTTTTTCCAGTTCTGCAAAGAAGGTCATTGGTAGCTTGATGGGGATAGCATTGAATCTGTAAATTACTTTGGGCAGTATGGCCATTTTCACGATATTGATTCTTCCTAACCATGAACATGGAATGTTTCTCCATCTGTTAGTGTCCTCTCTTATTTCGTTGAGCAGTGGCTTGTAGTTCTCCTTGAAGAGGTCCTTTACATTCCTAGTTAGTTGTATTCCTAGGTATTTTATTCTCTTTGTGGCAATTGTGAATGGAAGTTTGTTCTTGATTTGGCTCTCTTTAAGTCTGTTATTGGTGTATAGGAATGCATGTGATTTTTGCACATTGATTTTGTATCCTGAGACTTTGCTGAACTTGCTTATCAGTTTCAGGAGGTTTGGGGCTGAGACGATGGGGTCTTCTAGATATACAATCATGTCGTCTGCAAATAGAGACAATTTGACTTCCTCCTTTCCTATTTGAATACCCTTTATTTCTTTTTCTTGCCTGATTGCTCTGGCTAGAACTTCTAATACTATATTGAATAGCAGTGGTGAGAGCGGGCATCCTTGCCTGGTGCCACATTTCAAGGGAAATGCTTCCAGTTTTTGCAGATTCAGTATGATATTGGCTGTTGGTTTGTCATAAATAGCTTTTATTATTTTGAGATACGTTCCATCGATACCTAGCTTATTGAGTGTTTTTAGCATAAAGGGCTGTTGAATTTTGTCAAAGGCCTTCTCTGCATCAATTGAGATAATCATGTGGTTTTTGTCTTTGGTTCTGTTTATGTGGTGAATTACGTTTATAGACTTGCGTATGTTGAACCAGCCTTGCATCCCCGGGATGAAGCCTACTTGATCATGGTGGATAAGCTTTTTGATGTGCTGTTGCAATCGACTTGTCAGTATTTTATTGAAGATTTTTGCATCTATGTTCATCATGGATGTTGGCCTGAAGTTTTCTTTTCTTGTTGAGTCTCTGCCGGGTTTTGGAATCAGGATGATGTTAGTGTCATAAAATGATTTGGGAAGAATTCCCTCTTTTTGTATTGTTTGGAATAGTTTCAGAAGAAATGGTACCAGCTCCTCTTTGTATGTCTGGTAGAATTCAGCTGTGAACCCATCTGGACCTGGGCTTTTTTTGGGTGGTAAGCTCTTAATTGCTGCCTCAACTTCAGACCTTGTTATGGGTCTGTTCAGGGTTTCGGCTTCTTCCTGGTTTAGGCTTGGCAGGAGGCAAGTGTCCAGGAATTTATCCATTTCTTCCAGGTTTATTAGTTTGTGTGCGTAGAGTTGTTTGTAATAATCTCTGATGATGGTTTGAATTTCTGTGGAATCTGTGGTGATATCCCCTTGATCGTTTTTTGTTGCATCAATTTGGTTATTCTCTCTTTTCTTTTTTATTAATCTGGCTAGTGGTCTGTCTATTTTGTTGATCTTTTCAAAAAACCAGCTCCTGGATTTATTGATTTTTTGAAGGGTTTTTTGTGTCTCTATCTCCTTCAGTTCTGCTCTGATCTTAGCTATTTCTTGTCTTCTGCTAGACTTTGAGGTTTTTTGATCTTGCTCCTCTAGCTCTTTCAGTTTTGACGATAGGGTGTCAATTTTTGATCTCTCCTTGCTTCTCATGTGGGCACTTATTGCTATATATTTTCCTCTAGAGACTGC